ATTTAATTCAAATGTAACAATGGTATTGAGGTATTATACAGCTAATTCAAACTTCGTTAATTGGTGTTCTACAATATTCACCTGTGCTGAGGTTGTTTGCATTTAGGAAATACAGTGCTGAATTTTTAAGCACCACCACTTTGCAGATTATAAGTTCAACATGGTAGAATTAGAAGCCTGTTTCAAAGTTTTATTAATTCAAGTCATAAAAAAGTTACAGTCACTTCAAATATGTACAAATAGCCATAAAAACATTATGTTCAGTTATACAGGAGACAGTCTCATTATAACATGGCTACAAAAATCATTTTCAATAAACCTCCCAGAAGGGTAAAACAACCATTTAAGCATCTACGCTCCAACTCCCTAGTAACAGCAGTTGCCAACTTATTTCATCATAAAAAACCAAACATTAAATCAGGGAGCAATAGTTAAGTTTGACTTGAGTAAGATGGGGCACTTAAGAATTAACTCTCAACAAATTGTAAAAGTAGTAGCATGGTTACCAGTCTTAGCTGTTAAGAGTTTTAACAATCATTAATTGAGTTTATTTGCCTCACTTTCAGGAGGAGTCTCTTAACCCTCCAATGTTTGTTGTCTTCTTGTTTGAATCTTGCTCTGTCTTCATCTGATTTAATTATGCATTCAGCCCTCTATGCATTTCATTCATTTCCTTTACCTGGAAGAGAGGAGAGAAGAATATCAACATTTGTGCCACTTCTCAACATGAGACCCAGGAAATCAATAGGACGTAAAAACCCAGACTTTCATCAGCAAAGGGATCTAACAGAATCAAACACTCTAAGACCACTGTAACAAGTATGCTTTTACAATTAAGAAAAATAAAACAAAACCAAAACCACATCACTCTGGGGCATGTGCAGGGAGCAGACTTTTTATTTAGCTACAGCACCCCTTGGATTCCTTTACAAAAGGCCTGACACTGGGTGTGAAGCACCATGCACTAGTGCCATTTGCTACTATTCCATTGGAAAATAGCTCTTCAATAGAAACTGCAAGCTGCACCCTAACACCTGAAGTCAATGTCTTCACAGACCATCAGTATTTCCTGTGGATTGTATAGCCCTTACTATAGATATGTAAACACGGTACTTGCTGTCATCACCGCCTCCCACCCCTGGGAAATGCAGCAGATCACCAGTTGCCTTTGAAACTAGTGCAGAACGAACATGGTGAACTATAGGGATGAAAACTAGTTACAGAATTTGAATACTTTCAGTATCCTTGAATATATCTGAAGTACCCAAAGCAAGCTTTTAACCTACAGCAAACTTAAGAGTTTCTGGATTCTAGCCAACCTCCACCCAGCACATAGATCATAAACAGAAATTAATTACCTCTGCTTTCACATACTTCCCTTTCCTCCTCCTTGTGAAGACCTGCAAGAGAAGGACAGTGTAACTGTGAAGTTTTATTTAAGTCTTGACTTACATGCAAGCTTATCTGGTTGTAACTTTAAAAACTCCAAACTTGAAGCTGTTCCTTCTCATCCTTCCAAAGCGAGGTACACAAAAGGCTGTCACTCTCTACTACTTTAAACCAGGAGGCAAGACAGGTACACAGGTACTTCCTTAATCTCACTGAGTTTTTCCTAATGCTTTAATTTTCCATGCAACACCCTTCTGTCATAACCTGAAACAGTGACAGTACGTCCGTCACCTCTTCCCCACCTCCGAGGTCTCAAAAAAGAAGCCAGTTTACAGAGGAAGACCCTTTCTATCAGAGTCCAAATACCCTGATATGTTATTTACCAAATTACACTATTATCCATTCTACTTAGCAGCTTTGTTAGAACTTACCAGAACAACAATTCCAGCAACTATTGCTATTATTATTATTACAATGACAGCAATGAGGCCAGGAGTCAGATTCTTCATGGAAAACTCTGGTGCTATTTCATCAACATAGTAGAACGCAGTCTTCTCAAAATTCAGCGCTTCATTATCAATGCTGAAGTTTAGTCTGTTATTACTGTAAAAGATGGGCTCACCTTTTACCTAGGAACAGACAGGGAAAAAAAGAGACTTGCTAGTGCATATTGTAATAGGCATTCATCACTGCAATAACTCATCTTGCTTTAGCCAGTCCGCAGCAAGACTACTGGATGCAATGCATAATACACATTTAGCCTTTGGCAGACTTTACCCATGACAGACTTACATCTTTTTCAAAGTAGTAGGCCACATCAGCTATATCCACATCTCCAGAAGTTTTGTCTGAGGAATTTTGCTTCAAATCAATAGTAATGTAAGGTTCTTCATACTGCAAAAAACATAGTATATTATTAAGAAAGGTCTAGTTTAAATCGAGCTTTTAAATACACAGCAAGATACTGTGTTTCAACTTGTGAACTCTCATCCTGAATCAAGTTTATGGTACTTTTCTCACGCCAACTCTTTATAGTACGATTCAAATTCCGCTTTTTTAGTGAAGCAAAGTAGGAATTCATCTACAGACTGAGGAGAGCAATACGTAATTTCTCAGTACTCTCAGATAACAGCTATTTGCTAGCAGCTCAGTGTCAATATTTTGAGAGCTTCTAAGACAACTCACGCTGTAATGCATTAGTTAAACATGGGTTTTCAAAGTTATTCACAACAAAAATAGAATTTATACGTTGCTAAATATTATGTGCCTCTTACCAGAACACTAGCTATATAGCGTCCATCCAGCATATAACGACTGGAAATTGTTTCCTTGAAGAATCTGTGAGGATATTAAAGCCATAGCTGTTAAAATAATACTATTTTACTCTTCTATTTCCAGAAGCAGGGAAGTCTAGTGTAATTGTATTTTTCCTGCAGCCTTTCTGTGGTGGCTTGACCCCAGCTGACACAGCTAAGCCCTTATCTAGTCTCTCACTCACTTCACCCAGCAGGATTCAGAAGAGAATCAGAAGGGCAAAAAGCAAGAAAAAAATCCCCTCATACATCAAGATAAAGACAGCCAAATAAATGAAAGGGTTGGATAGGGGAAATAAAAAACAACAAACAACAAACAAGTGATGCAAAAGCAATCACTCACCACTAGCAGATTGACACCAAGCCAATCTCCAAGCAATGTCTACTTGGGAAAAACTTCCCCCCACAGATTTACGGCTGAGCATGACATTATACAATACAGGACATATCTTCGGTCAATTCAGGTCAGCCATATCCACTGTCCCCCCTCCTTTTTAACCTCTTGCCCACCCCCAACTTACTCATTGGGGCAATAGAGTGAGAATCTGAGAAGGCCTCAACACTGTGTAAGCACTGATAAACGCCAGCTAAAACACTGGTGACTTAACACTGTTTTGGTCACCGGTCTAACACACAGCACCATGCCAACTGCTACCAAGAAAATTAACTTCATCTCAACCAAATCCAGTACACTCCAATTATTAAATTATACTACAGCTGTTAATTTTTTAACAGTGAAGATGCACTTACTGAAAAATAAACACATATTACTGCAGTGTTAGAAGAGTTTGAACAGTTGAGTTCAGAAGAAGAGCTAGAGTAGCAGCTTTTGCTCCAGTAAATTTAATAGCTACAAACATTTTTCTTGCTGTATGACCTCTGACAGAAAAGTAGGATTTTATTTTAGCAAAAAACCCCAACAAATTGTTGTTTTTCTGCTGCTGCTTCTATGCAGTCTGTCTGCCATCTTTGGGCAGAAGACCTTACTGTCTTCCATTTCCTTCAGTGTATTGACTTGACAAAAAAAAAATCAGCAATTTAAAACGGAAGTGAATCTCATTAGCAGTTAATGCTTCCCTGTTTATAAGTACACTAGATATCTTGTAGCACATGCAGATGTTGTCACGACATCTCCCTGTCATCACTTACTTCTTTAAGGATTCAGCGTTCAGAGGAGTGTTTCTCTCTGTGTGTTTCATTTCAATGATGATCCACCTGAAGTAATAAAAAAGTAAATGAATATTCTTAAAGCATGTACATATAACAATGCATATGAAAAAGTTAACCCCGGGGGAAAACAACAGCAGTTAAAGAAAAAACAAAGAACTCCCCCTCTACAAAACTCTTCAATGTCTCTTCATTACTTAAGAAAACACAAAACCGAGAAAAGCAACAAATGAGGATTTATTGCACTATCTTCATTTATCCTCAGTACATCATTCATATATATAAATCCTTTATGAGACAGAGCCTAATACAGGAATGTTTTCATGTTACAGCACACCCTGATGGAAGACTTACATTGTTCTGACTAACTGATTGCACTTCAAGTCGGCATCATGTTTGTCAGTTCTTCTAACACCAGCTGTATTCACACACCAACAGGTGGTTCCATTGCACTGCTTCGCCTTGAAAATACCAGTATTTTCACACTCGGGATCATAAAGGCCATCAGTATCTTCAAATGCATCTTTTGGTTTCCCACTACGACCTGATTTTGAGCTTGTCACTTCTGCTTTCATCAACAGGCATTTTGACGTCACTAAAAATAACCAGAAAGTCACATTATGCAGCACATTCAAAACAGAGCTCTTTATAAAAAAGACAAAGGTTACATAAGAAGCAACTAGATTTAAAGCCTTTACAAGTAAGGGCGTGTGCCTAACTTCTGAAGTCCAAATTCAGCCACTTTCAATTTCATTTGGCCAGAGGATCACTTACAGCTCAGCTGAGCTGGAACCAAGAGTAAAGTCTTAGAAGGGTCTTTCACCTCTAGATTTGTAGGCAAAGTCACGATACGTGCTTAGAAGGAAGCTAAAAATTAACCTTTGAGAAACCCGTGCCATTAGAGGCCAAATACTAAGGAGGATGGGGGAAGCCTGCATCAATATTATAAGTTATACACACATCCACACAAGTTACACAGGAGGAACCCTAAACGCTTATTTTCCATCACCAGTTGACCTGGAAGACCAGGAAGCAGTTTTCCTGCCTTGCAACCATTATTTGCCGAGAACTCGGTGGTCATTGCCAGATAGGCCCTTGAGTTCAACCGAGTTGACTTTTCCTTGTCGCCCCATCCCGGAGCGCACACCCGGGCCGAGGGCAGGCGACACGCGTGCTGTACTCACGAGTGTTGCAGTTCACGGACAGGCCAGAGCCGATCGAGTCGCACCAGCAGGCGCCGTTGACCTCCCTGCAGTTGGTGACCCGCTTGTTCTTCTCGCAGATGCACGCTGGAAGAGAACCGCGGCTGTGAGAAGGCTCCCTCAGGCAGACAGCCGGGCACCTCCGGGCGCCGCCACCCGCTGCTCCGCAGGTGGGGTGGAGACAAAGCCACCCCTGACCAACCAGACCATGCCGGGTGTGGTGTACTCGTACCCACCGCTCCCACCTCGCCACCCGCCCTTCCCCAGGAAAGGGCAAGAACTTCCTTCACGACACCCAGGCTCCCCGAGGGCCGTTCCCGCGGGCTACCTGGCCCCTTCGGCCATAAA